AAACCCTAAACCCTAAATTTCTAAATAGCACAGGCATCCCTGTCGCTGGCCTCGCTCTGCTTACTTGCGATTCTCCAGCACGCAACCAGAAATAGGATTGATCAAGTACGCTTCCCAGCCCGCCCTGCGCATGCAGTCCTTGTACCTATAGTCTCCATTGTAATTCCTTTTTTGGGTTTAACCAGTTTTATATTAAGGATCCTAAAAGGTAACCCCAAAAAGGAACTACAATGAAGACTATAGGTAGGGGCTGTAGTTCATGGCGCGACATGGTGGAACCTAAGCCTGAAATGCCGCCGATGACAAGCTCTAAATCCCTTAAATCAAAACCCTAAAACCCGAAAGCCCTAAAGCCGTGAAGCCCTGATTCTAATTCTTAGTTAAAAGTTATTAATTCCCGTTTCTACGAAACCCGAACCCTAAACCCTAAACCCTAAACCCTAAACCCTAAACCCTAAACCCTAAACCCTAAACCCTAAACCAGAAGGCAACCCTTGCAGTAACCCACTTTGACACCTGAAATCCTGGATCCCAAGAGCCCCGAAACCCTAAACCCTAAACCTTAAATACCCTAAACCTTAAACCTTAAACCTTAATCCCTAAACCCTAAACCTTAAACCCGAAACCCTAAACCCTAAACCCTAAAGCCCTAAACCCTAAAGCCCTAAACCCGAAACCCCTAAACCCTAAACCCTTGAGGAATCCACCAAGAGGTGGCAGCACGGAGGGAGCCAGCCAACTCCAGGCCCGGAACGGAGGGCCCCTGGTGGGGCCCGTAGCCTCAAGGTGGAGGGTTTAGGGGTTTAGGGGTTAAGGGGTGGAGGGTTTAGGGCTTTAGGGTTCTGGGGTTTAGGGTTTAGGGTTTAGGGTTTTAGGGTTTAGGGGTTTTCAAGGCTTTAGGGCTTTAGGGTTCTGGGGTTTAGGGTTTAGGGTTTAGGGTTTAGGGTTTAGGGTTTAGGGTTTGGGGTTTAGGGTTTAGGGTTTAGGGTTTAGGGGTGGAGGGTTTCGGGGTTTAGGGTTTGGGGTTGAGGGTTTAGGGCTTTAGGGTTTCGGGGTGTAGGGCTTTGGGTTTATTAGGGTCAAGGGGTTTGTGGTTTAGGGGTTTAGGACTTAGGGTTTACTAAACGTTTAGGGTTTAGGGGTTTATGTGGTTAGGGGTTCTAGTGAGGGTCTCATGATACGGGTCTTCTATGGCCCTAGAGATCAGAGGGCGCGTCTAAAATATTGAGCGCGGTACTGTGGAAATAACCACAGCGTCTAAAAGTTTTTCGCGTCTAAAAATCTGAGCCGTGCGTACTGTATTTTACAGTGTTTTTGAAAATAAACACGCTCGATTTTAAACACGAACCGGATTTAAACATATCCTGAGGTTGTACACATGGATTTTAGGGTTTTTAGACACGTTCACCTATGTTAAACACGAATTTTAAACACGAGCAGAAATATACATGTTTTACACACGAATACACATGCATTTCAGCAATGCAATCTTATTATTGGCATCAACCTTGAAAACAAAATAAACATGTTTAGACACGATTTAACATGTCAAAAACATGTTTCGAATGGTTGCGGTGTGGAGAGAATGATCGGTTCTACCAGACCGTTCAAAATTATTCAAAGCAAAACACATGCGAGGTCAAGATCAACCATGAGGTGACATCAGCAACCACCGTACCGGGTCCAAAAACGTCGGTATGTTCTGTTTGAAACCCAGGGCCAAGGCAAATGTCAAGAATTTTTGCCTTGTCCCCAAGGCCACAACACATTTTTCTTCCGCGCTCCCGGGCCCATCACCAAGTGTCGCGAAATTCTGCCTTGTAGTCGGTGCCCGGGTCAGAAGTAGCGATGCGACTGTTACTTTAGCGAATTTTAACCCTGCCATGTGCAAGGTTGAATTTGCGGCGCTGCCCAAACATGAATGTTTATTGTAATGGGCGGGTCCGGTCTGGGTGGGTGACAGGCTCTGGGCCGTCCAAACCATACACATGCAACGATGGACTACCAGAGACACACGGTTAGCAGTTGCAAGCAGACTACACAAACACAAGCACGGCACACTCGAATTGTCCAACGTGGGTCATCTTCTTCCAAGATGCGGTTTACGATTCTAGGGCTTATTGTAATGCCCCGAACCAATGAAACCGCAGCAGGACTTGGGGCTACACAGACCAACCTTCAAATTTGGCAAGCCTGCTCGAAAAGCTGGTCAGTTTCCCCTCAACTCCTGCTGCGGTTGCAGTGGTTCGGGGCGGTACAGGCCGTAGAATCGTAAACTGCATCCTGGAAGAGGATGACCCTGGTAGGACAAAAAGTGTACTTGCTGTAAGTACCCACTTCCCCAAGCCCGCGTTTGCCTGGTTGCCTGTGCTGTGCTACATGGTCAGAACGTACCGCAGAGCCGTTACGGAGCCCGAAAGTGCCTTCGGACTGTGACAGTTGTGTTGCGGAGCCGTTTTGAACGTCCATGTTTGAGCACATGGGGTATAACTGCGCCTATTTTTGGCTTGCTCTTGCGACTCGGGGGGTTGGTGGGGGGGGGGGGCGGAGATTGTTCAACGTTCTTTGTTTCAGCATTGTTTCAAGATCTACTTTATTTCCGTGCTATGCGCCGCAGTTGTTCAAACATGCAGTTTGTGGCCTGAACAAACCCAGTCCGCAATATAAGCAACCTGAGTTCGAGAAAATTGTTGAGCCACTAGAGTCGAAACAGTTTGCACAGAAGATGCAGCAGTGGTCCTACCTGCTAGTTTTAGCCACGAATAAACATGTTTATACACGGCTTTTTTAAACATGTTTTACACCTGTTTACACACATTTAGACATGTTCAAACACGAAAATGCTCGCGTTTAAAAATAAAGATACACACGAACCATGATTTTTAGATTTTTTAGACACCCCCCCTTGATTGCAGCTATAGCGTTTATGTTTCTTATCTTTTTTGTGCATCAACCAATTTTAGACACCCCGCCTTGTACGGCGATGACGCGTCTATAAAATCTAAAATTGATCTCTAGGGGGGTCTAGGGTTGGGAATCTTATGGGTCGATGAGGCTTGTCCAACAGTTGTATAAAGCTTCATTATCAGGCGTCTGTATGCGTTCTACCAGGATTCGTTCTAAGGGTTTCATAAGAAAGTTATAGGACCCTAAACCCTAAACCC